GTACCCTTCCTGACTCACCCTAAGGGTTCATTACAGGTTTTATAGTCCCATCACACAGACAATCAGAGATAAGTCTGAACTACGCTAGTCAGTCAGGTTGTTCTCTACAGACATCATTTCAAACTCATAAGGTTACAGCTGAAATGACTGTGATTAGATTGTCAGCACATAATTTTGCACTGTTGCATTTTGTGCCCTATCTACTTACAGCACTCTTCCTCATCATTTAGTTTCTATAGCTAAATTACTCTCTGCTACTAGTTATAACAACTTTTAAGGTCTAATTCCACTGACCTGTAATACGTTCCCATGTGAAGACTTATCTCTAAGTTTCAGATCTCTAAAAAATGCTTTTTTTGGTGATTAAGTAAAACTCAAAGTGAGTAAAAAAACTTAAATAACTTAAGTAAAACTGAGAGGGGTTTTTTCTAGTTCAGCATTTTAAATGCTTCTTGAGAAGGCGATTTTCTGATATTTTAGCAAATCCTTTCCTACATGATTTTTGCATCTTTTAGGGAATAGATTCCTGACAGCTTCAGCACCTATTTGTACAGAAACTCCACTGTTTATGCCTTCCAGTTCCCAAACTCCTAGTCTAGAGCACTTCCTCCAGCTAGTTCCTTTACCTGGGTGATCAATTTTAATGAAAGGTTTTCACTGGTCCTTACCATTTCACTTAAATTTAATCTGTTTTTGATGACTTCATCTAGAATATGTAAGCCAAAGCTCATTCTTCTCTAATTCTCTAATTTCATACCAAAAAATAAACCTGGAGTAATAAGGCTTTTTTGCTGATTATTTGCAAATATTTGGTGAAGAAAGTTGCTAGCAACCTCGTCCACAAATCTGAAACACTATCAATATCAAAATAACATGTTCTTTCAAACACCTTTCTGGGAAAAAAAATGACATTAACATAACAATTGGTAGCATTTATTCCTGGTGAGAGGGCATATCATGATCAATATCTCCTTCTGAGATCTAGAGCATTTCAAACATCATTCACCATAAATAATCTTGTCACCCTTCCACAATCATGACCAAAAGTGGTTGTTTCCTCTGCTCCATCTATCTTCATTTTGATACAGTCTATTATGGCACAAAATTCCAGTGATTCCTATTTTTCTGAAACTCACCGTAGTATTAGTATTTCCTGGCAAATGCCTACCTACCTTAGTGTTCCTGCCATCAATTTTTGTCTACGTTAGTTCTGCTTACTATGTCACTGTCAACTATAGCTAGCCTGAGTGGTAACATCTCTGTAGAAATATATCCATTATTTCTGATTTCTTCAGTGACTTAACTTCTACACTTTACTGTTCATAGGAGCACATACACTGTCTTTTTGCTTCTTATAACTGCTGGTAGACTCCTATCACAAATATTGAAGCAAATCAATCGTACTGTATCTCAAGATTTGTCAGTCCAACATCCCAGGTGTGTATACTCATGTCTGAGGCACTTGTTTTTCTTCAGGAATGTTTTCAACAGCTCAGCAGCCCACTCCTCCTTACAGTAATAATCAATACAATCAAAACAATGTGTGTATTTAAATAAATAGATTATAATCAATTTTTAAAAGACAGCACCATCCATGCTGTAAGTTGCTGCTAAGTCAAATTCTTAAGATATTTCACTCTTTTGGTTCAGAAACTGCTATGTTGTACGGCCACATAGATTTTTTTGCTTCAGCCACCAATCTGAAATAACATTCTTCATTTGTGATTTTTTTATTCTGGCAAAACTTTTACTGATGAAGAATAGAGTAATTCAGGAGTTTCCCTATACAGTAATATATATATATATATAGACATATAGGTCCTGATTTATTCCATATAACATAAGACTTTGCCTATATCAGCAAATTCTCCGTACTGGTTATTGCTATTTACTGTGCAAGGCCTGGTATGGAAGCCATACATGATACAAGGCACTAATTTTCTTGTATTCTTTAGAGTGAACACACAGCACTTACAGGATGGCCAGGGTATCAAGCCCAGCCAACATGAAGGGGTCATGTTTTGACTGACCTGGTCCCCTTTTATGACCAGGTGACCTGCCTGCTGGATACAGGAAAGGCTGTGGGTGTTGTACCTGCTCTGTTCAGCAAGGCCTTTGACACTGTGTCCCAGAGCACACTCCGGGGAAAGCTGGCAGCCCAGGGCTTGGACAGGAGCACTCCTTGCTGGGTTAGGAACTGGCTGGATGGCCGGGCCCAGAGAGTTCTGGTGAATGGTGCTGCATCCAGCTGGGGCCAGTCACCAGGGGTGTCCCTCAGGGGTCTGAGCTGGGGCCAGTCACCAGGGGTGTCCCTCAGGGGTCTGTGCTGGGGCCAGGTCTGTTCAATATTTTTATTGATGACATGCATGAGGGCATTGAGTCTTTCATGGTGAATTTGCAGACAACATTAAGCTGGGAGTGTGTGTTGATCTGCTGTGGAGGGTAGGAGGGCTCTGCAGAGAAACCTGGAATGGTTGGATGGATGGGCAGAGTCCAATAAGTTGATTTTTAATAAGTCCAAGTGCTGAGTCCTGCATTTTGGCCACAATAACCCCCTGCAGCATTATAGGCTGGGGACAAGGTGGCTGGACAGGCCCAGGCAGAAAGGGACCTGGGGGTGCTGTTCCACAGCCGGCTGGACATGAGCCAGCAGTGTGTCCTGGTGCCAAGAAGGCCAATGGCTCCTGGCTGTGTCAGGAATAGTGTGGCCAGCAGGAGCAGGGAGGTCATTCTGCCCCTGTACTCAGCACTGGTGAGGCCTCACCTGGAGTGCTGTGTCCAGCTCTGGGCCCTCAGTTTGGGAAGGACCTTGAGACACTTGAGCGTGTCCAGAGGAGGCAACAAGGCTGGTGAGGGGCTGGGAACACAAGGCCTGTGAGGAATGGCTGAGGGGGCTGGGGCTGTTTAGCCTGGAGAAAAGGAGACTTGGGGTGACCTTATCACTCTCTACAACTCCCTGAAAGGTGGCTGTGGTCAGGTGGGGGTCGGTCTCTTTCTCCAGGCAGCAGCTGACAGAACCAGAGGACAGAGTCTCAAGTTGCACCAAGGGAAATATAAGTTGGATATTAGGAAAGAGTTTTTTACAGAAAGGATGATAAAGTACTGGACATCCACCAGTGGTGGACATCACCGTCCCTGGATGTGTTTAAAAAAGACTGGATGTGGCACTCAGTGTCATGGTCTAGCTGAAGTGTTAGGGCGTGGGCTGGACTCAATGGTCTTGGAGGTCTCTTTCAGCCCTACTAATTTTATGTGATTCTCTGATTCTGGGATTTGTGTCACTCACAAATCATGTAACTGACTACTGATTTTAGTATGTTTTGTTAGTCTTTATAAAATTGCTAAATAGCCGTCCCTTTTTTCCTTATATTTCTGGTATTTTAAAATATAATTTTGGCTAATAATTCTAAATGTGTTGTAGAACAGAACCTGTGTCAAGTAGAAAATATTCAAGTACAGTCAGAAGCAAGAGGTACTTGTCTACAAAATTCTAGCAGGTATAAAATGGAACTATGAGTAGGTGAACTCTATATACTAAGTAAATACATACATACATGGTAACCTGATTTCCTAAAACTTTTGATTAATTTGGTATTTATGTACAGATGTTCAGTATTGTTCTTCCTGAAATTTCAAAGCAGTATATTCCAAAAAGTAAAACCTACAATAGAGAGAAAAGCAGACATCAATTCCAATGCAATGTGATACTGTCCAATAACTTACCTAATGATCATGGAAAAATGGCATCCAGTATAAACTTACTACACTGATGGTGAAAATTTATCCTTTTATCTGCCCTGCTCATTTTTCATAGAAACAACCCTCATCTTTAAGACAGGATTTTCAAATAACTTATGTTAGATACTTGTGTCCATTTCCAATAAGTACATTTTTCAGTAGAGCTTATATTCTTTTTAAGAATAACACTGACTTTCTAAAGGGCTTCTGTTTCCTTCCAGTAGAATTTGTAAAGAATTATGTATTCATTATTTGTAGGATAACCATGCATATTGGCCATTGACACAGGGAAGAATCCCAATGTGCTAACACTGAACATAGATTTAATTAATTAACCACCACCATGGCGTACAACTGAGTAAGTTAGCTGTTTCAATAGTTTCAAATACACAAGGACTGTATACAAAAGGGAGGCTGTTCTCATTTCTGTTTTGCTTTCATTATTCACATGGGCTGAGAAAAAACTACTATAGGCTCACCACAGGAAAATATTTTGAAACAAATCAACAAACAACTAAATTCAATAATTTGCAATGTTAATATTTTTCCTTACTTATATTAGCAAGAAGGCATGACAAACAGTTTAAAATTTGCAAAAAATTATGGGTTTTGCTCCATAATAGGTTAGCTGTGAAGTAACACAGACAAAAATGAATGAATCATCTTTTATCAAAGGAGTTTTATGTATACCAACATGAACTATTCAACATAAAGTATTTTTCTACTTGTTTCCCCTGAGGAAAAAGTGTGCTATTTCAAAGTTCCTAGTGTTACTATTTCTAGTTTATAATAACATCATAACAATTAGCAATGCTATCCATTCACTTAGGCACTCAACAAGTGCAGAAAAACTATTAAAAGTAAGTAATCAAATTCATTGCTAACAATCACACAAAAAAATATAGTCAATTTTATGCTGAGAATAATGTCCTGCCTAGTGAGAAGGGTCACAAGGGAAATTTCCACAGCTGGAAATGCAGCTATTTTGAATTTCATTTATTGATATCAGATTAAAGTAACTTTATTGTGCCAAACCAGATTATGCCAAGGTAATAATGAATGTCAAGGAAGAGAAGAGATGCCAGCAAATCCTAATGAAGAATCACAGTCAAACATGTTTTCAGTATCCTAGATAGGAGCACAAAATAGCATGGAAACTATATGAAATACAATCATTCAGAGCACATTATTACAGTGAATGCACTTTTAAACCATCACATAAGAGATCTTTCAAAAAAATGCAGTATTCACTGGAGGAAGAAACAGGATAAATAATGCATCAAAGCATGAACTGAACTGCTTTTTTGCCCTGTGCACTGCATGTTTTGAAGTCCTCTGATAAACATTTTGCTCAGCTGCTGTGCCATTAGCAATGCCAAAATAGTCAGAAGTGTTTGTAATCCCTCTCTCTTGGTAGGTAACTCTCTGTTCTTTTTTTCTAATGGAGTGACACCAAAGACTTACAGGGCTTCTTATTGGCAGAACATCAAAGATAAAGATTTTGATATCCAGATCTCACTGGACAGATGCCACAGTACATGATTTTATTTTTTTTCATCTCTTCATCTCCATACAACTGCTGTTGTATTCCGCAGGACTCTATAACACACACACCAAGATGTGTTACTGAAGATTGAGAAGATTTGGATTAGTTGATATAGGCAATTACCACCATGATTCAGAAATATGTCTAGCTGTTAAAAGATGTAGCACATCACTGAAAGATACTTACATGATATACCTAGGACAGCTTGTCCCATGCTTGAAATAGATGAGTTTTGGATCATTTGTCCACATTTCTGCAATCATGTTGGTGCATTAGAACTGGATAGAATAGTTCAAGTCAAATCTGAAAGAAGGCAAGCTAATGTCAATAGCAGGGGTAAAATACCTTTTAATAGAACATTGCTGCTAATTTATACAGCCATAAAACTATTTCCATACAATGGTGATAACAATTGTTATTACCGTGCCACTTGTAACAACCAGTTATATCACAGCTGCTTTCTTCACTGACTTCCAGCATACTATGTTCCATCATGTTTCAATGTGAATGGTCTTTGCAGCAGCAGCTGCATTTAAATCTAGATATAACCGTATCTAAGTGCAAATCCTGAGTCATTGAAATTCAGTCCTTCCTGTCCAAAAGCCTGATTTCAACACACCTTTTGTACCTACCAATTTGTCTAGAGATGCCTCCAATAAAGAGTTTGCTAATTCACCACTTAATTTTATGAAGCCAAGATTTTTCATGAATATCCATTGTCAACAGTAGTTATGACAGCTCTCTGACCAAATATCATGCTCACTTTTGCTCTTACACTCAACCAAAGACTCTCCTTTTATGTTGATATCCAGTGAGTTCTTACTATGTGATCATTTTTCTGCTCCAGGGGTTCCAGAACTGTGTCCAGAACTGGACACTGAACTTAGATGCAGTCTCACCAGACATGAGCTGAATGACGGGCTAATTTCCTGTATATTGCACTGGCAACGCTCTTCCTGATGCAGCCCAGAACAACATTGGCTCTTTTGGCCACCCGGGCACACTGCTAGCTCTTGGACTGCTTCTTGTCCACCAGGACCCCCAGGTCCTTCCCTGCAGAGCTGCTTTTCAGCAGCTCAAACCCCAGCCTGTGTTGCATTGTAACTGGCATTATTCCTCCCCAGGCACAGACCTTGCAGACTTGCTTTTGTTGAACTTCAGCCTGTCCAGCTCATGCTGACTGTCAACACAGACATCTGCTGTAGCAGACACTGCTTCAGGTTTTGAATCATCAGCAAGTTTGCTGAGGGTACACTCAGGTGACTGTTATCCAGGTCACTGACCACCTGGGAATACAGCTGTAGACCTTCAACTTATCACAACCCCCTGAGCTTTTCCATGCAGCCAGTTCTCAAGCCACCTCTCTGTCACTCCTTTAACCCACATTTCCTGAGCTCACCTGTGGGATGTTATGGAAGAAAAGCGTCTAAAGCTTTGCTGAAATTAAGACAACATCCTACTGCTTTTCCCCCATCTACATAGTCATTCTGACCTAGAAGTCTATCAGGTTGGTCAAGATGTTTTCCCCTTGGTGAATCCACATTGGCTACTCCTGATAACCTCCTTTTTCTCCTTAAGTAAATGACATCCAGAATAAGTGGTCCCATCACATTTCCAGGGATGCAGGTGAAACTGGCCTGTAGTTTTCTGGGTTCTCCTTCTTGCCATTTTTGAATACTAGAATGACATAACTCCAATCTGCAGGCAGCTCTCCTATTCTCTGGACCTTTAAAAACTTATGGAAAATGGCTTGTCAATAACTTCTGCCAGCTCCCTCAGCCCTTGTGGGTGTATCCCATCAGGGCCCATGGATTTGTGGCTGTCAGGTTTGCCTGTATGATTTCCCAGTTGATCCTTTTTCATCACGGGAAAGTCTTCCTTTCTCCAGACTCTCTCTTGTATCTAGGGGCTGAGGTTCTTGCAGACCAGACTTAGCAGAAAAGGTTGAAGCAAAGAAGGCATTTAGTAACTCTCTGTCACTAGGGCACACACCTCATTCAGAACTGAGCCACATCTTCCTGATTCTTTCATTTGCTACTGATGTACTTGAAGACAACTTGTGATCCCTGACATCCCTTGCAAGGTTTAATTCCAAATGGACCTTCACACCTTTTGTCACATCTCTGCATACTCTGAAAACATTCCTATATTTTTCTCAAGTGGCCATTTTCTTTTCCCAAGTCTCTTTTCCCATATTTTGTAAAATTGCTTCTTCAGTTTGAGTTTTGTCAGAACCTCCTTGCTCATGTTTTTTTTAATTCTGGCTATCTCACTGGTTTGCAGATATTTCTAAATCTTCTTTTATCCCTCAAAATTATTTTTGTCTCCTTTATGCTTGAAATTAATCTGAAACTATCAAAATCTTTCCCAAAAGGAGTTTTAAATTCAGTTATCACATTATGAAAACACCGTATCTTTGCAGCAATAACAATAATCATTGCCTCAGCAATAAGACACACCAGAGACACCAAAGGTTGTACACATGCAGCAATACTCTTTCATGTCACTTTAAAAAAACACCAAACAACAGACAACAGACTTATTTTAGGGTCAATGAGTATTTTTAGAATTTTTTTAAGACTCTTTCAAAATTTTTAATTGTTGTTTGAGTTTTTTAAGAGGCCTTGAAAAATAGATGTGACTGGATTAACCCAACTTGAAAACAGTGAGTGTGATGACCTCGATCAGGGGGACAAAAATGAGCTACATCACACACAAAACACATACTAAAAACAGCTGCTATCTTGTAAAGCATACACTTCCTGTCAGCAAGCAGTTTTTACCATAATGAATTTGAATGAGTGTTATGACTATGTAAAAATGTAGCTTGGTAACTCTTTTTTTTTATCAAGCATTTCAGGAGAGGTGAGAAGGGAATTTAAAACTTTTCCTATAAATTTATAAACGCTTCCTGTTGCTTTGTCTATCACTGTTGTGTATTTAGAGTTACAATATATGAAGTGCATATATTATTTGGAATCATCAGGGTTTTCCTGCACATGTTCTATTTTTCTAAGTAGGCAAAATCTGGGTTTTGCAGTTTAAACCCTTTCCCTTTATATGGAAAAATCAATATTAATTTTAAATCAGGAAAAATAATATTACTATGCACAAAATAGCGCTGAACATACACATTTTGATTTAAAAAAAAAAAAAACTGCCTAAATGAAAATAACCAGTAAGTGAAGTATTTTTTCAAAAATTATGTACTTAAATTTACCATTAGCCTTAGGTATTGACCAATATAGTACTAATGACAGAATACTGATTGTCTATAACACACTTTAAATAACTGGAGCAAGACCTTTACCAAATCCAAGTCTTGCCGAGTAATAGGGAGAAAAGTGCATTTTTCTAGCCTGTAGAAAAGAAAAAATTCCTTTCTTAGAGGTTTCAAACCTTTCCAAAAGGGGAGCGAATGTCAAAGACTTGGATTTATACAGGCACCAGCTCTCACCTCTATCTGCTTGCACTCATACTAACACGCTAGAGGATTTAACTGGCAACTCCAAATAGCTTTCTAACCATAGCATTGCTCATCTCTCCCAAATTGGAAAAACAATCCCAGAAAACATGCTTATAGATTTCCCTGAGGAAAAAAGCGTAGATGAGGAAAACAGAGAAATCAAGGCACTCCTTTGATTCCTGCCTGTTGCACACAACTGAGAATCATGTTGAACAAACATTGGGTGTTGTTTTTGTTTGGCTTTTTGCTTGTTTGTTTTTAATGGAAGTTCAAATGTGTGCAGTGATCTCTGCCTGAAGCAGTTACTCATTTGTATTCCTGTCCAATAAAGGAGTAGCAATACCTCTAGAGGCAAATGTAACTGAAGTTGCTCGAATGGTCCGGGATGAGAACAAAAAATTAGATGCAAGCCCAAATAAAGACTCAAAACAACAGCACAGTCATTCCATTTTACTTTTTCTGACTGTGCACAGCAGTGTAGCCAAAGAAGCTCGATCCAAAACCATTTCAATCAGAGCTGTTTCAGAAGAAAAAAAGGCTATCAGAAGGAAAGGCCACAGCCACAAATGCTAGCTCTCTTTCATTTCCGAAAGGTCTCTGTGGAGTTTCTTATCCAAGTGTTTCTGTGTCAAGACTTGCTTCTTTCTGGCTGGAATCCTGCTGCATTTGTGTTTTTAAAATAATTTTGGATGAAAAGTTTTTGAAACACAGGTTGTTTTCTTTCACTCTTTTCCAATCAGATTGTCAATAATAAATTTTCTGAATAAATTTTTCAAGCCAGAGCACTCCCAGCAATAACAAAGGTGAGGTGTGAGCACATTTGTTACACTCCTGCTTTTCAAACTTCAAAACCTTTGCATCAATTTCAGTACCATGAACAACTTTATTTTTTAAAAATTAAATAAATAAAATAAAACAAAATAAAATTAAATACACCAAAAAACCCCCACTCCACACTAAAAGAATTTTTGTTGAAACATCTCATTGTTCCTTTTTTAAACTGTAAAAAATGCAACAAGGCAAGACCAAAGTAAGCCTCTTACTAAAAGTATTGTGCTAATAGCAGTGAGTTACAAAATCAATTTCTGGTCAAGAAAAAAAATTGAAATAATGGCTTGAAAAATAGACATTGGTACAATGAACAGAATCATTCTGTCCTCGTTAAAAATAAATAGTGCCCCTGCAATCCTGACTCTACCAGTTGCAGTCCACACATAACCTAGAAAAACACAGAAGTAAAACAGAAAAAAAGACAAAAAATAAGTCTAGGAATAGCTGAACAGGGAAGCCTATTTATACACAGATTCTACCCCTATTCCTTCTCTGACACAACCTGTCTTCCAACTTCATAAAACCTTTAGAGTAGTAATTCCAGCAGTTCCTACCATGCCACAAATGTATTCCTCAGCAGACTACACTGTCCTAGAATGATCAGCCCTGCCAGAGAAGATAATTTTTTGCATCTACCTCTGTCATAAAAATCAGAAACTGAGCTGTTCTAGACCATGGAACTCTGTAGTGAATATGTTGCAGGAGATACCTGATCTGCAAGGTTTCAACAAAGAAAAGTAAATATTCTTATTACGAAAAATGAAAAGGATATGCCTATGAGGCTGCTGTGGGCATGCTATGCCTGAGATACCCACAACATCCCTCCTCTGCTCCAGGGATGTGCCCAGACTTCAGGGATTCTCAAATATTTCAATCAACAGCAGCTATTGATGGAGGGAATGATGGGGAAATCTAAAAGTCTCCATAGTTTCTTCCCTCTGCAGAAAATGTGAAGTCAGTTGCTTGTAAACTCAGTGTCTTTGGGTGCACAAAAACTTTGTATGGGCCATAAAATGGGAAATAATAAGGTTTTTCCTTTTTCTCTGCTACCTCCAGTTATCTAAAGGCTGGCATATTTTTCTTATGTTCCACCCACACCTGGGGAGGATTTTAGATGTACTCTGCTCTCTGCACTGCCAAAGCCTTCTCTTTAAATGTCAGATGGCTTGCTAGCAGAACAGAGCATTAGAAGTTGAGTTTGAGGGCAACTAATAATGCTTGTAATAGACATGATCTCTAAAGTGAGTAAAATGGCAATTAAGTTTATGAAATCTGTAAAGCGCCAAATATATTTTAGCACAAAAAGACATTGAGAAAGATAACTTTTACTACTGTGAGGGTCCATCAATTATAGTTTTTGAATATCGTTGAGTGTTAAATCACCATAAATGAGGGAAAACCATTGTGGCATTTTTATCATGAATGATTACACAAGGAATGCTCTTGGGTTTACCTCCTGCCTGTGGCTTCACATCTGAATTCTGCACTCTGAATTAACCTCTGAGCTAGTTTCTGACACCTTGCTTCACCTTCTGCTGCCCAGGGAGGAAAAATAACAAAAATCCACAATCCAATAATGCTGGTTCAGGACAAACTGGTACGTCTCCAGCACAAAGGAGATCTGATTTCCACCATGTGCGTGTGGTTTCCATTCCTCGTATTAAACTGCTTCCTCAGGTGCAAATGGCATAGCACTCATTCCCTCAAGACCAGCTTTTTTTCTTAAACTCAAAGCAACGGTGCCAAGCTACTCTGCACTGGAAAAATAACATCAGCCTATTACGGGATGAGACTGGTCACCTCACATAAAAGGACAAAGCAGAGGGGTTAGTGCCTCCTCTGGCTCTGTCTTCAACACACATGACAGACCAGTGCCCTCCGGTGAAGGACCCTGACTACAAGAATTCCCCAGTTGAC